GTCTGCGCGAGAGACCCTGGAATAAGCATGAGCTGTCTTCCCTCCCCGCTGCACTGACGACTTTGCCCACTCCTTCCACTCCGACAGGGGCTCCTTGGCGTCCGACTTGCGCAGGCCTTCTACATGCTCTCGTAACTGCCCGAACAGCCCTTCTAACTCCTCTCTGAGCCCCATGGATATCCCTTCTACTAGGCTGATCAAAAAGCGGGCATCCGCGCCTTCGTCTGGCGCCTCCAGCGCCGAGATCATCCCGAACAGGGCGGCGCACCATTCGTGAAAAAGACCGCGTGCTCCGGCTCCTAGCATATCTTGGCCAACTGCAGCTGCACGACGAGCCAACGCCTCGAAGGACATCCAACTGGTGGTCCGCTTTGAATATCTCCTCCTAGACTCTCGGTCCCAAACCGTCTCGAGGGGAATCTTTATGACCTTAGGGCCCCCAGCTCTTCCACACATCCTGGCTGCGCTAGCGCTGTCTAGGTCGTGGAACTGCATGAGCCAGCCCTCAGCCTGGGTAAACCATTCCCTGACCATGGACCCCAAACAGTGCGAGCCACCTCCGACTCCCCAAGACCACGTGCTTTCCGTAGGGAGCCTCCGAGGACCCACGAGCTTGTCCAGGGGGAACTGCATATATCTAACCTGCTTCGGGACGACCGTCGGCGGGGCCAGGTTCTTGACGACGATACCCACAGGCATATGAGGCCACGAAGGGGCTGCTGGGAACGCCAGGACATCCTTGACGCAGTGCCCTAAACACCTGGACCCCACGAAGAAATCGATCTCCCGCTCATCCTTCCTGTCGACCTCCTCCTCTGGCCCCGAATTGGTTACTGGAGCGGGCCCTGCTCTACACGTGGCGTGGCCCGTCGTAAACATGCAGCCCCCAACCTTGGACACCCATTCCGATGCTTCAAGCTCTTCAGGAGTAAGGTTCCAGTCACCTTGCACAATCCAGAGGCAAGTGAGGGACTTGATGTACTCGCCGAGAGTGTTCAATAACTCAACATTGTCCCCTGTTACGCCAATGCTGGTGTAGAGGTAGACCGAGAAAACCATCAACCCACCTGGAAGCCCTACGTTGATGTGCCTGCTTGCCACGCGCGACTTGAAAGATTCCAACTCGGGTGGCCATGGCACACTAGAAGACGCCAGGGAGCTGGCCACTGCCAAGCCTACTCCTGCCGATGACTGCATCGGGCCTGTTCTTGTGGACGCTGCTGGTCCTAGAGAAAAAGCGAAGGAGCAGCAATCACCCCAGCCGTAGGCGGAGTCCAACTTACCCTTCTCCTTCAGCCGAGTCTCTTGTACACAGATCACATGCGGCTTGACTGGTTCGCCTGAAGCCGACACCACGCCGAAGAGGTTCGCTTCCTGGTCCTTACACCAGTCAACCACATTGGTGAACGAGTCCCACGTGTTCGCGTTCACACCAAAAATGATCAGATCGCTGACGATCGTGACCGAGTGGCCGATTCCACGAGCCGCGCCGTCCTGACCTAGTTTTCCCTTTCCGCGTCCGTCGCCAGGTGGGGACGAGAGATGGTGCGGCCCTTTCCGCACAGAGGGTGTGTCTCCTTGAGCACCGCCAGGGCTAGCTTGACGCCCAGCTGCTCCTGCCGCAGGTGGAAGTAGACCGCCACATCCTTCCATGAAATCGCCCAGGCCTCCATCGAGAACACAAGGCCCATCACTTCCAGATGCGACGCAAGCCTGCAACTCACCATGTCCATGAGCAGGTGGGGAGGAGAGGTGGCGCGGGCCTTTCCGCACTGTAGGTGCGCCACCAGCCGTCCTGGTACTACCACCCGACGCGGTGCCCGAAGACGAGGGAGCCGCCGACCTCGAGGTGGTGCCCGTAGGAGCTGTGGGCTCGCGGGGAAGGCCCCCAGCCCCGTTGCGACCGAGGGGTCCCGCCTCGCGCGACATAAGAGAAAGTGATGCCGTCGGGGTCGAGGTCGACCCAGAAGACGATGTCCCTGGCCCTGACCCTCTTCGAGGGTCCTCGACCCGAGGGGGGGCAGCTTCGCGAGACCGTCCGTCTCTGTCCGAAGCTTCGTGGCCCAGGCGAGGCCACTGCCGTGGGTCCAGACCGACCCCGTCGAACTGGCGGAACAGCCCCGTGTCGAAGACAAGGTCGTCCCTCAGCACTGGGACTGCGAAGCCCGTCGCCTGCTCCCAGTCGAAGTCGATCATGTTGCCCCTTGCGAAGGCGTCGAGGTCGGCCATGCCTAGGTTCGTCCTCGCCGCTGGCTCGGGAGCACCAGACGCCACTGGGGCGGCATCAACACGCACTAGGCCGTCACCCTCGCCGCGCCTTCTTGGCCGTGTGCTCGGCGAGCAGTTTGGCCACGGCTGCAGACGTGTCCCCCTCGCCGTCCATGGCTCGCTTGAGGGACTCCTGGAAGTCAGCCTCCAGGAAGTCGGTCTCGTCCATGGGAACGGCCTGGTGCTCACCTCCAGCCTCAGGGGCATCCACTGCCTGACCACCAGCATCAGGATCGCCAGGAGGGCCTGGGCGACTGGCCTCAGCCTCTGCCGCCTGCCTGGCTGCCTCAGCCTCCGCAGCCGCCTGGCGCTGGAGCCCTTCAAGGACAGCAAGGGCGTCCTTGCCTTCCTGCGCTGACAGCACCGCAGGCTCCAGCCCCGCCGTGAGCACCTTGAGAGGGTTCTCGTGCTCTCCTGCCTGGAGCTTCGCCAGCACGCCACGGGCTGCGACGAGGTCCGCATTGGCCTGGTCGATCCCCTTCTGGATGCCGTCAATCTCCTCATCGAGGGCTGCCCTCTGCGCATTGATGTCGACGCAGCGGGCCTCTGCCTTCTGGATCTTCTTCTTGAGGTTCTCCACCTTCCACCAGGCCGACATGGTGGTGGGCGGCTTGGGCGGCGCCGCGGCCTTGGTCTGCGCAGCCGCCAAGACAGCAGCATGGGCGTCCTCAAGGCCCTCACTCTTGAGGAACTCCGCCACCTGCTCGTGGGAGAGCCCCGCAGCCGGCGCTGGCACCTCGCCCTTGGCCTTCGGCGGACCGCCTCCAGCTGGGCCCTGCCCCTTGCCGCCGCCCTTGGCCTTGGTGCCCGCAGGCTGCTGGTGCCATGGGGGCACTGGCGGCGCTGGCTTGCCGCTGAGTTCCGCCACTTTGTCACGCAACTCCTGGATGAGCCTCGCCTGCTCGGCCGCCACTGCCCCTCCTGGCGGCCCGTCGGCCCAGGCGCCCTGAGCCCGCGGCTTGACCGAGACCGAAGGGCTCTTGGCAGCCGCGGCAGCCCTGCGCGCCGCCTGTACCACCTTCGCGGGTGCCGATGCCCCGCAGCTCCTGCACTTGATCCGACTCGCCCAGTTGTTCCAGCAGCCGCAGGAGCACCCCCAGTAGGGGGTGCGAGCGCCTGGCAGCACATCGGGCTGGGGAACCATGCGCCGCCTCCCGCAGACGCTTGGCTCCTTCGTGAAGAATGGAAGGCTCGTGCCCACGAGCCGCTTCGAAGTGCGCGGGCACAAGCTCGAGCTTTTCACACAATCAGCTCGAGCCGAAACGGCTTGAGCCAAAATGGCTACGGAGGAGGAGGAGGAGGAGGAGGAAGAGGAGGAGGAGGAGGAGGAGGAGGAAGAGGAGGAGGAAGAAGAGGAGGAGGAGGAGGAGGAGGAGGAGAAGGAGGAGGAGCGGGGGGAGGGGGAGGGGGGGGATCGGCCAGACTGGAAGGGCGGTGTGGATCGATCGGGGGTTGAATCCAGGAGCGGGTGAAATGGTAGTTTGGGGAGGGCGAAGGTGAATTGTAGAAGTCCATCGCAGAAGTTCACGGACGGCGGAAGTCCATGACGGAACAAAGCTAAACTGAGTTTTGAACCAGACAAGATGTGATTCATTGGCTTGCGCCAAACCGCCGACCATTTGGGGCGGCAGCAATCGTCCCCCGCGTGGCTCGTCCGGACAGCCTGTGAGGCCCGTCTAGACACGTTTTGGAGCCCTCTTAGGACCGTCCTACCGTTCCCCCTGGCCGTTGCTATGGTTTCTGGGGCCTTCGTGGGGCGCCTGGAGGCCGTCGTGGAGCCTTTTAGAGAGTATCTTGGGGTGCCAGAGGTCGATCTTGGAGGTTTACTGGGCCCTTGTGAGCCTCGTGGAAGGCCAAGAAGCGAATATGCTGAACATTTACGTGTGCCCAAGGGAATGGGACGGTTTTTGCTTCTGGAGGCCTGCTTGGAGCGCCTCGTGGTCGCGTATGCAAATGTCTTGGACGCCCATGGGGCTGTCTGGAGGCAATCTTGGGCGGTTTGGACCGAATCGTCCCCCGCGTGGGCTGTCTGGACAGCCTTTGGGAGCCCTCTTGCCCCGTTTTGGAGCCCTCTTGGGACCGTCCTGCGGCTTTCCTGGGCCGTTGCTATGGTTTCTGGGGCCTTCGTGGATCGCCCAGACGCCGTCTTGGAGCCTTTTTGGGAGCTTCTTGGGCTGGCGAGGGCCGATCTAGGAGGCTTCTTGGGCCGTCTTGCGCCGCGTGGAAGCCGAATGGGCGAATGTGGTGATAATGCGCGTTTTCCAAAGGAAATGGGACGATTTTTGCTTCTGGAGGGCCTCTTCGGGGCGCCTCGTAATAGTGTTTCAAACGTCCGTGGAGGCAATCTTCGGCGTTTTGGGGCGATCTTTCGTCGATTCGTAGCTCCCTTGGACCGTTCCGGGAACCTTTGGGACCTTGTTGGATGGATTTGCCCCCCACCCCCCACCCCCTCCTCCAAACCGGCCAGACCAGGCCTCCTGGGGAGGGGTGTGGGGAGGGGGAAGCATCTCACGCCGTGACCCCAAGGGGTCGGCGGATTTGGGGGTACGGCGGGCGATGCGGTGGAGCAGGGCGGAGCGGATTGGAGAGGTAAGGAGTCAGAGAGTTCAGAGTCAGAGGAGCGGGTACCTGGCACCCAGGGACGGGAGGCAAGGAGAGCCAGCGACAGCGAGCCAGGGTGGGGGCGGTCGTGCCGCCGCGGGACGGACCCCCGCCCTGGATCTTCGCCACAGGGGTGCCTGCTGCACCGCGAGTGCATGAACCAGCGCATGGCCAGCGCGCTCAAGAAAGCGGATTGCTTATCCTTTTTCTTGTCGATGCGGGGACTTATACATAACCACCGCCTGGAAGATCGATTTTCGCGGACCTCCACGGAGGCGGAAGATATGGATACATGTTGGCTCCCAGCGCTGAGTCCCCAGGACGTTGGTCTCCAGGCAGTCGGTATGGATACATCGCACACTTGGGCTTGACGTCGCGCGCCGCCTTGCCACCATCGCTCTCGAGCGCGAGATCGAGCAAGCGCAAACATGGATCAAGGCGGGTGGATTAGCGACTGGCCCTGTTTCCGTATCGTAATCGGCGCGTTCCGCGCTCCGTCCATAAATCAGGCACCGTTGGCCTCATGTTTCGGAGGTCCCTTCCCCGATCCATGGATCTGGCACCAACGCGCCAGGTTCACGGATCCCTAATCTCGAATGGTTTTCGGCCCATCCCGTCACCGTGCTTGTGGGGATAAAGTCTATTGGATGTTCGTTGGGATCTCGTGGGAGGCTTCTCGGGGGCCTCTTGGAGGCAGTTCGGGCGCCTCGTGGAGGCCTCCTGGGGGCCTGTTTGGGCACCAACGCGCCAGAGCCACGGATCCCTAAAATCCATGTCGGCGTGTGCCCGACGAGAAGCCTTCCTCCGATGCAGATTGGGGCCGAGAGCGTGACAGGTGGGCTTTTCGACCTTGTGGGGGCCCATTGGTTTCTTCACTCTTCTCGAGTGAGTGGTTTCCCACAGGGGGTGAGGGAACACAGCTGCCAAAGCTGTCGCTGTGGCTGGTCGCAGCTGGGTGACACTGGGCAGGAGATCGTTGACTGGCCGCGTTAGCTGGACCAGGCTGAGCGACATTGCCGGGTGGTGTCGAAAGGGCTGTGGTAATGGGATGGGGGGCGTCAACAACGGTGGCGCGGTTTTCTCGATCGGGTCGAGTCGAAGGTGGGTAAGAGGACGCCGTCAACGCTCATTGGATATCCCTTGGGCTGGACTGTGGCCCTCTTTGGGGCCGTCTTGGGGTTCTTGGAAGCGTGTTGGGGGCCTCTTGAGCCGTCCTGGGAATCTCATAGGAGCAAGAGGCGGGTGTTGCAGGAACGTGCTAGTCTTTTATGGGGGTCTCTTGGAGGCCAAAAGAGCCCAGCTCATTGTGTCGTATCCCCATGGTCTCTGCGATGCCGCATCTTCCTTTACACCCAGCGGCGGCGCCGACGTCGTGGCCTTTCGTCGTCGTCCTCGTCGTCGTCCTCGTCGGAGAAGGAGGGAGTTGGAAACCTCAGCCCCAGGAGCCACAACCCGTGCAGAGAGATCAGCTGGGGGCCGCCTGCCCCCTGGAGCGTTGGTGGTGCACGCGTTCGAGCACAAACGTGCGTACAAGCGCACGTAGGCATGAGCTCGGAGGCCTAGAGCTAGACACCAGCTCCAACATCGGCGGTGTGCCTCCGCCGAGGGAAGATGCTCTCAGTCTCGGTGATGGTGGTCACATTCGGGCTTCTGTGCGGCAGACTCCTTACCGCCCGCACCGAGATCTGGGATGAGCCTCTCCCAGTGGAGGCAACGCCGTGTGGCGGTGTCAGTGACCATGTCGTGGCCTTCCATTCAGCAGAAACCCGGGCGCAGGCGCACCCCCCCCTTGCGAGCACACCGCCGTGCAGCCCGGCTCCGTGGGGCGGCGGCCGGCCAGACCGCGTGGCGCCCGCCCCCGCTCGCGCGGGGCAGTTGCTCGGGCCACCACTCCGCGCAGGGCCTCGGGCGGAAGTGTCCCTCGGTGCCGCCACGCCGTGCCCTTCAGGGGCAACGTGGGTTTTCGGGTGTGTCCGCGCAGTGGAAGCGCATGCCAAGAAGCACCTTGCTTGCCTCCAGGGGGCCCTGGGTTTCTTGCGTTTCGATGGTTTTGCTGCGGAGAGCTTCACGCTCTCACACCGAGGATCAATGAACGTCCGGGGGTCTCAAGGTTGGGTTTCTTGTGGAAGGTTTCTTGTGGTCGAGCTCCTACTGTAGGTTTTCGGCGATTTTCCAACCTCGGGGTACCTTCCAGCGGCTGCGCCTCGCCGAGAGCGTTCCTGGGGGTGCTGGATGGTCCCAAACGGCCGCTGGAGAGCCGAGTTATGTCCCGAAAGCCACTGGGCAACGTGCACTGGGCAACGTGGGAGGGAAAGGCTCAGAGGGGGATGCATCGACCTCCTATGGCCCCTTGATCGCCGATAGGGGCCCGATGGCCTGTAGCCCGCCCCATTTCAGGACCACGCGGATGTGGCATCGAGGGCCCATCACCGATCGATCGGCGATGCATCGCCAGTTCCAGGTCGATGGTTCACCCCTCCCCCCCTCAGCCCTGACGGACACGGGCGGGCTCCCCAGCGGAGCCCGCGCCCCTCGCCGACGCTCGTGCGTTCCCCCTGTTTGCCTCCTGCCCCCCCCCCCCCCTCGGCTCCTTCGCATGATCGCTCTTGCCCTTGCGTCGAGCCGCCGCCGCCTCCGAGCCTTGCGCGGGCCCCGCTGGGGAGGCATGGGGGTGTATGGGGGCCGCACCTGGGCGCTCCTCCCTGGCCGCAGTGGTCTGGTCCTGCGGGTCAGCTCTGGAGCGGGTGTCTGGGTGCAGAGCTCGGGGTGCGGGTTCGGACGGGAGTCCGCCGCCCAGCGGTTGATCTGGAGTTTCCCGCCCCCTCGGTGTATAGTCCACCGCTCTGCGGTTGATCGAGAGTTCCCCGTCCACTCCCCCCCCCCTCCCCCTCGCCTGCTCCCGCCTCGCTCCTCCTCGCCCCCCCTCCCCCGTCCAGTGCTATCTTGGGTGGGGGGAGCTCTGGGGGGTCTGGGGGCCTATGCTGCGAGGACATCCCATGCGAAACCGCCAGATGAGGGCATTTCGAGGGACGGAGTGCTCGACCAGCGGTTCTCGATGTGTCATGCGCAGAGTTGTGCAACCAGCAGGTAAGGGACAACATTGAGAGGGCGAAGGGGAGGCGGAGGACGAGGAAGAGGAGTAAGCACGAGATGGGGGCGGTGGTGGCAGGATGAGATCTTGAGCTGGCGAGCGGGAGCAGCACGGTTGCATCTCTCAGGATGTTGAGCAGCAGCTCAAGGACCAGAAGTTGAAGCAGAAGACGCGGGAGGAGTATCTCATCGGCTGGAGCGCCGAGCAGATCCCGCGCAACGCAGGCGAGCCGCGGTTCTCGAAGGGGCGTGATTCGGCGGCGCCCCCAGGGGGAAAAATGAGAGGGGGCAGGCCTTATCAGAAGCCGGCGGGGCGTCTTGGAAGCCCTTGCGCCTTCCGAGAAGCCTTCTGTGTCCTAGGAGAGGGCGTAGAAATCTGATCAGAAGGCTGGAGGCTGCCTGGGCCTTTGAGAAGGCCCGGCCCCCTCTGCCTTCCCGCCTGGGCTCGCGGCTGAATATCGATCTCCGGGCAAAGAGTTAGGATCCCCCCTGGACCCCGAACTTTCTCTTCCCATGGGGATCCATATCAGGGGCAGTCGGTTAATGCGCGGGAGAGGCGGGAAGGCGCTGAGAGGCATGGAGTGCCGAATGGGGCGCGGCGGAGCCCTGGACCTCTGGCAGATGGACCTGCTCAATCCAGGCGCTGGTTCGTCAAAGTCGGCCCGCGCGCACCTTTTTTGGACCCCCTGTACTGGATGCTTGCTTGTTCTCATTGCTGGGTCCCTGCACAGAGGAGGGCGGACGAATCGTGCCCCCCCCTCCCGGAAACGGAAGACAGGAAAAACCCAGGGCCCACCCTCAGTCTCAGCCCTACCCCTGGGAAACGATGCAAGATGCATCAACAGCACGGATCCGGGACGCGAGAGGCGCCTTTAGGGGAAGGGGTCGGGACCTCTGGGGCTGGAGGATTTCCAGAAATGAGCCCGTCGGATGTCTAAATGATAGTCAACGCGCTCCAAGGAGCCGCGAGTTCAGGGGAGGAATCGGCGTCTCCCCAATTTATTGATACTGTGTAAGCATCGCCCCCCCCCCCACGGGCGACGCGCGCGCCGAGAAATCTGATAGTATAGTCTCCGTGGCGGGCGCTGTCTGGCCGTATCGCTCAGGAAACGATCACACTACAAGATGATTGTACTAACTGTTCGGGTCCGACGCACACCTCTAAGGAGGACGCACAGTACTAGTATGTCCTTCTGCGTCCCGGGGGGGGGGGGGGCAACGACAGGCGGAGATCTGGCCACTGGAAGGTACCACCCGAGCCGAGCGGCATGTGCCGTCGATGGCGACGGCGCCATGCTTCGACCGACGACGACAGTGGCAGGCAGATGCCGACTGCCAAGACGACCTGGCCGCGGCAGCGGCGGCGGGACGACGGAGGGACGACGGACGCCTCGGGGGCGACGACGGGCTGCTTGCGGGCGTGGGGTGGACCTGGATCAGGAGGGGAAAAAAACACACAGACACAATTAATCGGCGATTCCCAGAAAATATGGGAAAATATGGGAAGTGGGGGGGAAGACAAGAACACAGAAAATATAGGAAAATATGTAGATTTTTTATTTGTGTGTATTTATTTGTGTGTCCCAGTTCCCCTTCACTGGAGGCCCGAGAGAGGGCAGCACCACCACGGCAGGCGTGGCGTCGTGCCGGCGCGGCGGCCACCGCGCCGCGGGCGTGCGGGGTCGATCGCCGCCGGGTGGCCCAGAGGAGGCCAAGACGGCACGGCGTGGCGCGCGGAACGCAGCCGATCGCTCAAGGGTGAAATGTCTATGCGGTGTCTCTAGGCTTCCTAGATTCGGGGGCGGAAAAGAGGGGGGTGATGACTAGGGGGGGGTGGAGATCATGGCGTGGGCCATGATATTTCCCCAGATTTCATGGCGCCTCTTCTTGTTTCATTACATCCCTGGCCCCCCCTCTGGGCCGCGCACATGCCGCCAGCCATGATTTGCAACCCCCCCTCTTGGACACCCCCCTCTTGGCCGCTCCCGATAGATGGGGTCGGAGTAGATGTGGTCGGAGGATCGCGCCGCATCGCCGATGCTTCACAACGCGGCGCGATGCGGAGCCCGATTTTCTCCACGCTGGCGTCGCCGATACATCGCCCACGTCGACGATGCATCGCCGGTGCATCGCCGATGCATCGCCGATGCATCGCCGATGTATCGGCGATGCGGCGCGATCCTCCGACCCTATCTACTCGGACCCCATCTGGGAGGCCTCTAGTGTCAGCAATGAACGCCGGGGTCGTCACGACACGACATCGCCGTACTACCCTGCATGCGCCCGCGCCCCCCGCGGGCGACGAAAACCCGACGGCCTTCGTCGTTCTCGTTCTTGTCGCACCGCCCTCCCACAGGTGTCGGCCGTATTCGATGGCCCGAGCGTCCACGCCTCTGTCTCTCTCTCTCTCTCTCTTTTTTGTTGTTGACTGCCCAATACGCTCCCAAGAGATGTCCGAGAAGCTCTCCAGAAATCCCGAGAAGCCAAATATCCGTGAACAAACTATGGAAACGTGATAAGTTCTGCCTCCTCGCATTGCGCTTCTGATCCATTTACGCGTGCACATATACGTATATGGCATGTATATGCATTTAACAAAATAACACACCATTATATCTGTATATGATGCTCATGGCTCCCTCTCGTGCGCTCTCATCTCTCTGCCTCTCTTTGCGCTTCCATCCTTCCCCTCCTGTCACGTCAAAGACAGCCCTCGAAGACCCATCTCCTTCAGGCTGCAGGTCCAAGGCCAGCACGCAAGCTAGATCGAGACATCAAGCATCACTATGGGCTGCTTCGCTGACTCATGGCAAAAGGAAATTTGATTCTTGCGCACCCACGTTCGAAGTCTCGGAGCGTCGCCCATCAAGAAACAGTTCCCATACAAGTGTCACTAGAACGAGTCGTATAGAACAACTTGTGCGACATAGAGGGGGTTCTGTCAAACCAACGCTGGGGCCAGTCTGATCAGCCCCTATCAACGACCAACTTGGAGAGCCGCTTGGAGTTCTATTTGAGCCATCTTACTGCTCTCCTGGGGCCCTGGTCAGAGTCTGTCTGGTTCTTATTGGGGGTTTTCATTAAGTTTTTGGACGTTCTTTGGGGCACACTGGAGGCAGTGGGCAATCAGTCTGGCGACGGACCAAGCCCTATTCAGAGTCGAATCACGCAGATTGTGGATCTCTCTTCTCAGGCAGCGCGCCGCGAGAGGGATGTCACCTGGGACAGTGCGGTGGCACGATGCGAACGCAGTTACTGGGGCAATCGGTGAAGCCCCACATGAGTTCACAAGACGTGTGAGGGGTGTGGCGAAATGGAGCCCATGCGTCACGTGAGCGCAGCCACGAGGGCCTCTGGTGGAGCTCCCTGGGGGGCCACAGAGCGGGCAAGAGGTGTGCCCACAGACCCCGGTCAGTTTGCGAACGCAACCATTGGGGCCCTTGGTGGGGCTCCCTATGGGGCCACGGAGCGCGCGAGGGTATGCCGATGTGGGCGGGGACACTCCGTGCGAGCACGCCCGCCGAGGCTACACGTGGAGGTCTCTGTGGGCCACGCAGCGTGCGGATGGCGTGCCGAAACGGGCGCGGGGACGCCATGCGAGCACGCCCACTGGGGCCACAGGTGGAGCTCCCGGTGGGCCACGACGCGTGAGCGGTGTGCGGAACAATCGCGGGAACGGCATGCGAGCACGCCCATGGGGTGGGGGGGGGGGCATGTGTCGAGCTTCACATGGGTCACGAAGCGTGTGAGGGGTGTGCCGAAACGGGCGCGGGAGCGCCATGCGAGCACGCCCACTTGGGCCCTACTTAGGTGGGTCTCCCTGCGGGCCATAAAACGCGTGAGGGGTGTGTCGAAACCGACATTGGCGCGGGAACGTCATGCGAGCACGCCCACTGCGGTGTAGCTCCCTGTGGGCCACGAAACGTGTGAGGGGTGTGCCGACATGGGCGCGGGGTCGCCATGCGAACACGCGCGTTGGGGCCAAAGGAGGGGCTCGTTCTGGAGGCAGGGGCCGCGTGAGGGGCTTGCCGAAATGAGTGCAGCGAAGGCAGCAGGAGCGGCACCGATGGGAGGAGGGAAGACGTGATTGGAAGAGGGACGAGGATAATGAGGAAGAGACGGGAGGAGGAGGAGGAGACGGGAGGAGGAGGAGGAGGAGGAGGAGGAGGAGGAGGAAGAGATGAGAAGGAGGAGGAGGATGAGGAGGAGAAGGCAGAGGAGGCGGAGGAGGAGCAGGGGGAGGGGACGGGTCAGAGGAGGAGAGGAGGAGGAGGAGGAGGAGGAGGAGGAGGAGGAGGAGGAGGAGGAGGTAGGAGGTAGGAGGGAGGAGGAGACGCGCGGTGCTGCGGATTCAGCACGAGGACCCAATACATTGGAGGGTTGGGAAGCAAGTCGGGGACTTGGATTCCAGTCCTCCTTCTGGAAGCGGAGCAAGTGACCCCGGGAGCCGTTCACGCGATGTTTGGGTGCTGTTTGGGCGCGCTCTCTGGGGCCATCTTGTTGCAGTCTTGAGACTTCAGAGTCCCGTCGGAGGCCTTGAGTAGGTACACACATCTTGCACGTCGACCCTTTGAACGGTATTTGTCCCTCGGGTTGGTCTTCGGGAGGCGTCATTGCCGCATCGGGGCGTCCTTGTTGGCGGGTTTGGCCACCGCCAGGCCACCAGCCACGATCAGTCCACGCGTGAGGGAGGAAGTGATGTGACGTGTTGCTAGGGAGTGAACCCCTCCCCGAAGAGGAAAAATAGAGTTTGGCAGAGCTGGCCCACTAAACCATCTACGCCCAAAGGGCATGTGGCATTCAACAAACACACCGAAATCTGCCTGGCTGTCGCTGCCTGTCGATCTCCCTGCATGTCTCTCTTTGTGTCAAGTTTCTTCATGTCTCTCTTGTAGTGTGATTCATGTGTATCCCCCCTCTCTCAGTAGGCATAGGTATGTGCGGAACGGGCCCACACAGTTGTTATCATTCTTATGTTTCCAGGTTTCCGTTAGGTTGCTAGTTTTTTTTGTTTTCTCTCTCTCTCTCTCTCCCTGTATGATGTAGTAATTGTATCCGAGTCTTGATGTGGCATCTTACATACTCTGATTCCCTGTCGGCCCCTTGAGTTGCAGTACTGCTTGCGCGCGCTAGGAGTTGCCTTGAAGCTCGAGTGCGGCGGAGAGACGCCGCAGGGCATGTGCTGCCTGGTGCTCGACGAGGCGTCGAATGAGGTGCACGTGGCGCCTACTGGTGGGCGTGGGCCGCCCTCGTTTGCGGATGATGCGTCTAGACTTTCGTCCTTGCAGGGTTGGAGAGTAGAAGGATAAGGATGATGAGAAGGAGTGGGGAGGATACGGACTGATGGTCCCCTCCCCAGCTGCCCGATCCACAGAGTCCTTTGCGAATGAGCGTCGAAAGCTCCGGAAGGCCTGAAGGCCGGGCAAGAGAGAGAGTCATAATAAGCGGAGCCAGTATGCAGCGCTTGCTAGAGCGGGGGGGGCTGCCCGATTGCGCGCCCTAATTTGCGGGTGTGTGTTTGTGTACGTGCGTGTGTGTGTGTGTGTGTGTGTTAGTGTGTGTGTGTGTGTGTGTGTCAGTGTGTGTGTGTGTGTGTGTTAGTGTGTGTGTGTGTGTGTGTTTGTGGGGTGGGGGGGCGCCGCTGCTTCTCGCTCCCCCTGGGGGGGGGGACAGGTGGCGGGTAGGATGGGAGGAGGAGGAGGAAGAGGAGGAGGAGATGGATCAGGAGCAGGAGAAGGAGGAGCAGGAATATGTTGAGGATGAGTAGGAGAAGAAGAGGAGGCGGAGGACCCTCTCGCGTCGTGAAGGTTCCGCCCCAAAGAAGATGCGAGCAGCGCAGGACATGACCCTCTCCACAGGCGATGCGCCGCGAAGGGGGAGAAACTCCGTGTGGGCCGCGCAACGCGTGAGGGGTGTTCTGAAATTCGCGGGGGGGCGACTGCGGTACCTTGCCGCTGTGGCCTTTGGTGGAGCCCTTTGCTGGACCACGAGCCGTGTGAGGGATGTGCCGGAATGGGCGCGGAGACGCTGTGCGTCTCCATAGCCCCCGGGGCCTTCGGTGAAGCTGCTGCTTCTCGGGCCAGGAAACGTCATGTTTTTTTTGTGTGTACATGTGTGTGTGTGTATGTGTGTGTATGTGTGTGTGCGCGCCGAGGTGGGCTGCGGGACGCTATGCGGCACCACACCCCTTAGGGCTTTCGGTGGAGTTCCTTTTGGGGCTTCGAAGCGTGTGAGGGGTGCCCGAATGGCTGGAGGACGCTATGCGGCACCACACCCCCTGGGCCGTGGGGGCTTCGGTGGGGCCACGAAACTTGCGTGAGGTGTGTGCCGGAATGGGTTTTGGGACGCTATGCGGCACCATACCCCCTGGGGGCTTCTGTGGAGCTCCCTGAGGGACCACGAATCGCGTGTGCCATGTAGGCAAGCGGAGACCAGAGACAGGAGGAAGGAGGGGGCAGCGGGAGGGAAGGTGGAGCGAAGCGCTGCGGATTCAGGACGATGAGTCATCTCAACGCAGGAGGGTTGTGCATCACGGCGGAACATGTGGGGCTATATTTCGGGCTCGGGGGGCAGTCATCAGGCTCGAGGGGCAGTCAAGAAACTACCATAATGAGAAACCAGTCTCGGGGAAGGGGTCGAGGGTCGAGACCTCCTGGGTCCACGTTGGAATGGCGACGTCGGGGATTGGGGGCCAAGGAAGGGTAAGAGCAGGTGAGGGAAAAGGACGATGAGGTCGAACGGGGGGACGATGAGGATAATGTAGTTGAACGAAGGTGATTCATACCGCGCGCTCACTCACTTGCTCTGTGCCCCCCGGCGGCGCAGAAGTATGGTGTGGCATGCACGCGCAACGCACGGAAGCCCGGCCCCGTCGTGCTCCACGCGTTCGAGTTCGAGCGCCGTGCGGCAACTGCGCGGCTGCAGCCCCTGGGTGCAGCCAGCGCCCTCCCCCCCCCCTGGGCTACCGGCCCCTGCTGCAGCCCTCGGGCCCTCGGGGGTCGAACCGCGCGCCGTGGAGCCCCGTCCCTGTTGGTGGCGGGGGTGGGTCAGGAGGGAAAGAAACACACAGACACAATTCATCGGCGATCCCCCGGAAAATATGGAAAATATGGGAAGTGGGGGGGAAGGCAAACATCCAGAAAATTATGGGAACATATGCGGAATCCTTTTATTTGTGTGTATTTATTGAATCGCTTCGCTCATTCCGCCGGCCCGTGATATGGCATCGCTGGTTTTTGTCTGTGTGTTCGTTGCCCATGTTGCGCTCTTGGGGGCGGGTGTCGTTCGGACGCGTTGCGTGGGGAGTTTTGATGGTGAAGCAGTTCCCTGGGGGTCGTCTCTCGATGGGGCGAAATAGAGTCGTCGTCAAGATGCTTCTTTGGGGGGCCTCTTGGGGTCTGTTGAGAGGCCGTTCGGGGGCGCCTGGGAGACATGTTTGAAGCCTTCTGGGGCTTCTTTTGGGCCTCCTGGGAGTCTCCTGGGGCCTCTTGGCGACATCTTGGGGCCTCTTGGAGGCCTCTTGGGGCCTCTTTGGGACCTCCTGGGCGCCTTCTGGGACGGAGGGCTCCATTTTTGAGTTCTCGGTATCCCTCCTGAGTCCCTCTTGGGCCCGTCTTGGGGCCTCTTGGTCCGTCTTGGGCGGCACTTGGGCCGTCTTGAGGGCTCTCTTGGGTCGTTTCGGCGCCGTCTTGGGAGCTTCGTGGGCCGTCTTGGAGCGGTCTTGGGGGCCTCTTGGGCCGTCTTGGAGCGTCCGGAAGCCGAAAAAGCCAGAACACAAAAAACATCGAAAAAACCAATGACAATCAACGATTTTGGCCTCTTGGGGCTCTCTTCGGAGGCCTCTTGGAAGGCTCTTGGGGCGTCTTGGAGGCCTCTTGGGCTGTCTTGGGGGCCTTTTGGGCCGTCTTGGGGTCATCTTCGGCGTCTTCGAGCGCTCTTTGGGCGTCTCGGGGGCCTCTTGGGCAGTCTTGGGGGCCTCTTGGGGCACTCTGAGCGCGCTCTGGGGAGCCTGAGAGGCCGCACCCAGAAGGAAAACCATCTCTGAGTAGACTTGGTCGGGCGGCGGTCGGGCGTTGGTCGGGGTACTTTTCGCCGGGGGACCCCCAGGGGCCGCCCCGCGCGCGCGAACTAGAAATACTGTTAATACTGTTAACCAGTTACCGGAGATCTTAGCACGCCCTGGCCCGTTGCGGAATCCTTTTATTTGTGTGTATTTATTTGTGTGTCCCAGGGCCCCTTCAGTGGGGTGGGGGGGGGGGGCGGGCGGGCGCGCGGCCCACGGACGAAGACTTGGCGTCAGCGGCCCCGGGGCGAGGACCCGCGTCGGGAGGAGGAGGAGGGCCATAATAATTCGCCGGCCCAACTGGCCAGGGCGTGCTAAGATCTCCGGTAATTGGTTAACAGTATTAACAGTATTTCTAGTTCGCGCGCGCGGGGCGGCCCCTGGGGGTCCCCCGGCGAAAAGTACCCCGACCAACGCCCGGTCGCCGCCCGACCAAGTCTACTCAGAGATGGTTTTCCTTCTGGGTGCGGCCTCTCAGGCTCCCCAGAGCGCGCTCAGAGTGCCCCAAGAGGCCCCCAAGACTGCCCAAGAGGCCCCCGAGACGCCCAAAGAGCGCTCGAAGACGCCGAAGATGACCCCAAGACGGCCCAAAAGGCCCCCAAGACAGCCCAAGAGGCCTCCAAGACGCCCCAAGAGCCTTCCAAGAGGCCTCCGAAGAGAGCCCCAAGAGGCCAAAATCGTTGATTGTCATTGGTTTTTTCGATGTTTTTTGTGTTCTGGCTTTTTCGGCTTCCGGACGCTCCAAGACGGCCCAAGAGGCCCCCAAGACCGCTCCAAGACGGCCCACGAAGCTCCCAAGACGGCGCCGAAACGACCCAAGAGAGCCCTCAAGACGGCCCAAGTGCCGCCCAAGACGGACCAAGAGGCCCCAAGACGGGCCCAAGAGGGACTCAGGAGGGATACCGAGAACTCAAAAATGGAGCCCTCCGTCCCAGAAGGCGCCCAGGAGGTCCCAAAGAGGCCCCAAGAGGCCTCCAAGAGGCCCCAAGATGTCGCCAAGAGGCCCCAGGAGACTCCCAGGAGGCCCAAAAGAAGCCCCAGAAGGCTTCAAACATGTCTCCCAGGCGCCCCCGAACGGCCTCTCAACAGACCCCAAGAGGCCCCCCAAAGAAGCATCTTGACGACGACTCTATTTCGCCCCATCGAGAGACGACCCCCAGGGAACTGCTTCACCATCAAAACTCCCCACGCAACGCGTCCGAACGACACCCGCCCCCAAGAGCGCAACATGGGCAACGAACACACAGACAAAAACCAGCGATGCCATATCACGGGCCGGCGGAATGAGCGAAGCGATTCAATAATACGAATAACAAGAAGAAGAAGAAGAAGCAGAGGAGAAAGGGGCAGAAGGAGGGCAGGACGAGAGGGGAGCGGGAGGAGAAGTGGGACAGCGAAGAGCAGAAGAGCGGGGCAGGCGAGACAGTTGTGAGCGTGCCGTGCTGGCCGCTCGGCTGTGCCGTTCGCCGCCCGCCGCGGGAGGCCGTTCTATGATGCCGTGCCAGCCCCTTGACGCCAGCGCACGTGTCGTGCCCGCAGCCGCGGCCTCGCCGTGCCAGGCCCCCGTGCCGCATGCCCCGCGGGTACGGGGCGCCCCTTCCGCGGATGCCCCGCGCGGAGCGTATCCGTGCGATCGCCGCGGGATCGCGCCCCGAGATCCAGCCCGCGCGGGCGCGGGCGTGGATACTCCAGATTTTGTAATAAAGGGAGGGGGGTCTCATTTCGGGGGGGGTCTCTTCCAGGCTATCTTGGAGGGCCTGGGGGGTCTGGGGACGATGTTTTGGAGGGTTCTCCCACGGGGGGGGTGTCTGAGATGGCTTGTCTTGGAGGGTCCAGACCCCCTCCCTGTTATTACGAAATCTGGAGTATCCGTGCGATCGCCGCGGGATTGCGCCCCGAGATCCAGCCCGCGCGGGCGCGGGCGTGGATGCGCTCGCGGGGGGGGGGGGGGCCAAGAGGGGACCCTCCGCGCGGGGGCTCGTCGCCCTGCCTCCCGCGCCTGCGGGCCGATCGGCGCCCCGGCGCCCCCGGGGGGGCGTCAGGCGAACCCGCGGCCGCCCTGAACCTGGAGTACCTGGCGATCGCGCTGCAGGTGCGCAGGAAGGACGGCAAGGACGCCATGCCGCTTCCCTCGCCATGCAGGGTCTGCTTCGATTCGACCGAGCCGATTCGACATCGATGCTGGCTGGCCGGATCCGATTCGATCGGAATGTGCGTTGCACGGTTTTGCTTTGCTTCATTTTGCATTCGTGCCGCCCCACAGAAGCTTCGTCCCGCCGCTGCTGGGGCTCACGCTTTCAGCGGGTATGCAACAGCAAAGCCCGGCCAGCGCTTTCGGGGCCGTCATCACCTTCTGGGTAGGTTTCGCTTCCCACGGCATGATAAGCCCTGCGCTGCTGGCTCCAGGCGCCGCGGACTGGGTCCGCGACGGGCCAGGGCACGAACTGGACCCCATCTTGACGTCCAGCTCGGGCCCGCGAGCGACCACCACCATAGTGGCACCAGTGTGCCACTGCCCGGCGCCGCTGGCGCCCGAGGAGCCCGCCCCGCAGCCTCTGCGGGTGGTTGAGCGAGGGCGGGAGGCGACCGTGGAGGTGCCCCGGCTGGCGGTGGCGGCTGGGAGTTGCCTGGCGACGCTGACGGCCGCCGGCGCCTGCTGCGGACGGGCTGCGAGGCGGAGCCCGGCCCTGCTGTCGTTGGAGCCAATCGGTCAGGCGAGGATTCGCGTGGCGTGATTGCGATTGATGGCGCGTGTCTGGGGCTGCGAGTGCTAGTGCAGCATCAAGACGACCCAGGATGGACGCATGAGCGGCTGATTTGCTGGCCTAGTGCGGCCGACCTGCAGTCATGGATGATGTACACGGCTGGGAGCGACCTGTGCTCCGAGGGCCTGGCGGACCCCAGTTCGGTGGTTGTCTGGACGGGGCGGAGGCGATTCCCAGCTGGAGTCAGGCGTGTTGTGACGTTCGACCGTGAGCTGCAGCGCGATGTGGTCATCAGCTTGATCAGGCGTGGTCGCGGAGAGGCGGTGCTAGAACATGGCGCGGATGTTCCGAGATGGTCGAGGCAGCCCGCGGTCGACTGGACGGGACGGCGCCTGGATGTGCCCCCCGCCACGGCCGTGGCGCCGCCGACGCGGGCAGCAGGCCGCCGCAAGCGGCCGCAGAGCCAGTGCTGCCGCTGGCCGACGGCCCCCCGCCGCCGCCACCACCGCCTGAGTAGCGCCCGCCTGGCTGCTGGGCGCTGTCGGCGATGGAGGGCGGGCCCGACTTCGGTCGCGAAGTCGAGCTGTCGGCGGCGGCCATCCTTCGGGGGCGGTGTTGGGCTCGACCGCGACGCGGCTGGAGTGTGGGTCCCCATCGAGCATGTGACGGAGGGGGAAGGCGATCGCAGGTTGGCGCGATGAGAAGCTCATCGCGGCGGATCGCTCGAGGACCCCGCGCGCCCGCCTGGACGACCAGCTCTTCCCCGAGGGGAGGTCGGCGGCATGGCCACGCTGCCGCCCGAGGTGCTTGGCGGAGCCGCTGCTGCTGGCGATGGGGCGGCTCAGGAGGACCTCAGGTCCTCCTAAATTGGCATTGGCGAGACGGGGTCGAGGTTCAAAGATTTGAGCAAAGTGGAGCAGGAAAGTACGCAGGAGGTCTTCGCCGACTCCAGCCTCCGAGGGCCCCCAGCGCGTTTGGAAGTGCGCCGCAAGATATACTGTCATAGAGGCACCCTGGAGATGTGGTTCCAGGAGTGGCGCAAGGAGACTGGGTTATCGTGGCGGGTCCGAGCCTACCACGATTTGCAGACGCTCATCGAGTGCTTGTGCCTGGCGCGCACCGACGATAAGGTGAATATGGGGGCTCTGGCATCTCTGGGGGCTGTCGCGAGGAGGCTGCCGCAGTGCACGGAGGCGCGCGCGCGCGGGGCTGACCAGGCCAACTGGGGCGCGGCGAAGCATCTGGCCGGGACGTCCGAGGCTCTGCGGAGCTATGAGGGCTGCTTGGGCAAGGGAGAGCACGAGCTGGAGGCGTTGATGGCTCGCGCGAAGGCGCCGGGAGCCACGCCTGGTGACGGCGCGCGGGCTGCTGCGGCGGCAGTTAGCACGGGCGGGCTGGCGGCGGCCGGGGCCCCCCCGGGGGCCGAGGCAGGTGGCGACGCTGCGGGCGGAGGCCGAGGCGGCGGCGGCAGGCGAGGACGCGGCGGGCGGGGTCGCGGGCTCCGCCCGCTGGTCACGTGACGCGCCTGGCAGAGGGGGGCGGGCGCCCGACCGCTCCCCGCAGATCTGAGGGCAACTAGGGGCTGCAGGGCTCGCCCTTCTTGCGTGTAGCCCCGCTGGCCGAGCTGCCGCCCGAGCGGTGCGAGGGCCTGAGTGGCGAGCGGCGCCGGCGATGGCTACGGGGCGGCAATGCAGCCTGCGAGAGCTGGATTTACTTGCATGGAAGTGTCCACCGAGCGGATCACACGCCTCAGAGCAGCATCGGCCAGCTCGAGACGGGCGCCGTCTCGGCGGGCGCGCGGCGCCCCGTCTTCTCGGCGGCCCACCGCTGGATCGACGTTGACAGCGCCGTCGGAGTGGAGGAGGCCCTCGCCAGGCATCTGCAGGGCAAGGCGGGGCACGCTCCGTTTGGCTCGAGCAGCGTGGGCCCCCGCGAGCGCTCGCGGGCCAGCGGGCCAGACTGCGCCCATTGCGCGCCCAGTCCGGCCACGAGGCTTTCCGCTCTGGCGAGGCTCTACCTCGAGGAGCTCGATTTCAGGATGCTGCTGCCGTCTCAGGAAGCAGCGGTAATCCGAGAACTCGAAGGACTCCCAGGTTGTCACACCGACCCTCTGCTGCTCCAGCGGCCGCGGAGCTATGGGAAGTTTGTTCGGCGCGCGCTCGCGATGGGCCTCGTCGCCTGGGCTCGCCGACCATTGAGCGTGCTTGGCTCTTTTTTCTTTGAAGGAGGAGGAGGCGCCTCCGACTCATCGTGGACAGCAGGCAGAGCAGCGCCCAGTCGATTTACAGTCGGGCGACGGGCTTTGCCGCGTCGAGATGCCCATCATGGAGGACGGCGAGCATGTTCGGCTGTGCGTGTCGCGTCGTTGGGCGTGGGCGACGTCGCCGATTACGTTCGCGGGGTGAAGCTGAAAGGCGAGGGCCGGCGCTATTGTTGTTGGCCGCCGCATGCAGCATCTTTGACTGGAGAGGCGCTGATAGACGGCCGCCCCGTGACAGGGGGCGAGCTGGTTTGGCCCATTAGTCAGGGCTTGCCAGTGGGCTTCTCGTGGTCGTTATACTTAGCGCAGGCCGCCAACTGGGCCCGCCTGGGTCGCCAGCCACACTTGGGCCGCAAACTGCGGTTGAGTGACCGCGGACCCCCGCTGGTTCTTGACGCGACCGACTCGGGCGGCGCTTTCGGCCACTGCGCGCGCGTGGACAGCTAGTGCGCCATCGGGCTCGGCGGCCAGCAGGTGGAGACGGCGCCCCTGGAGGCGAGGCGGGATGTCGTGGGCGACCAGCCGAAGTTCCACGAGGTTGAGCTGCTGCCCGGAGGGGGCCGCGCCCTCGGGCGACTCGTCGACGGGGGGCGGCCGACCGCCCGCCCCGCCGACGAGAGCAGGCCGGCAATTGGAGATGGCGCTGGGCCACGCGTCACTCATGGCCATGGTTCGCCACGAAGTGCCGTCAGCATTCCGTGCTGCATGCGCTTCCGCGGTGCAAAGTTACCGCGCCTTCTCTGCGCTGTGGCCCGCGGCGAGAGACGAGCTCAATTGCTGCTTGGGCATCATGGTGATGTTGGAGTCAAGTTGCACCAGACCCTGGGCCCCAGTCGATTACTCCTCCGACGCAAGCCTCTTCGGGAACGGCGTGGCGGAGGTTCGCTTCGACCGGGGGGTGGTCGCCGAGGTCGGCCGCATCTCGGAGTCGCATCTTGTCGCTTTGGGGGCCCGGCTTGCGAGGCAGCGCGCCTTCGAGTGCGCAGGCCCCCTGCTGGGCAGCGAACGGGGCGGGTGGCCCGCGGTTCGAGCGATGGGGCCTTTCCAGCTGGGCGCCGAGCTGAGGTGCGCGCTGGATAGCGAGCGCTGCGAGGCAGATCCCAGCTTCCCCGAGGTGACTGCTCGCTCTTGCAATGCCAACCGGCAGGTTGGCATTTCAAGGTGATATCCTTAGACTCGAGGCGCCGGGGCTCGTGGGGGCTGCGTCTCGCGCCGCGCGCTGCCAGCCAGTGAAAGAGTGCCGCGTTCTGATGCGAGGAGGCAACCTGTCAGTTGCGCAGTGTTTCTGCCGTTCGAGGTCCAGGGATTTTCGGTCCCAGGGATTTTCGGTTCCGGGAGACGTCAGGGTTCAGACGTCGAACAGGGCCCACGTCAGGGCGCACACACAGGCTTGCCTCAAGCCCCCCTCTCGTGCGGTGCGTGTCTGACGTATCGCGGGGGCTGTGTTCACATTGATTCCTCGCTCTCGTCCTTGATATCAAGATATCGTGGGGATCGCAGGAAGATCAGGATTTGTCTGGATTTTACAAAAGACCACTGTGGGCGGTTGGATTGAAAACGGACTCGCAGGGAGCATATATTATACCGTCAGAAGACGATCAGAGTGAATATTTCACGTCAGCTGACTTTGGTGTGGATAGTGACCCACATCCGTGTGACTGGTTGAAAGACACATCAGCTACTGTGCCGCGATTAACGACGCAGGAGAAGAGGGAAGATCAGATAGCACTTGAGTTGGAAATTTCTCCACCAGAGGCATTTGTTCAGCAGGAGGCGTACGATTTCAAGAAGATTGGGCAATCAGATAGATATCAGGCTGCACTTCACACATTGCGTACAGTCAAAGAGAGGAATAAACGACGTTCGCCAGCAATCATGGCGGATGACAAAGCAGAAGATAGCAAAATGGGAGGGAATGCGAGTAGTGAATGGTTGAGAGAGGTGAGGGCGAAAGGGGAGGGCAAAGGTTCCAGTGCTTCGAGTGGTCTGGCCGCGGCTTCCAGTGCTGCTGTCCAGGCGCCTCATTTAGCTACAGCCCGAGTCCCCAATGCTACGAGTGGTCTGGCCGTGGCCCAAAGTGCTGCTGTCCAGGCGCCTCAACCAGCTACAATGACGCCCGAGGAAATGTTCAGACAGATTTTGAAAGGC